CTGGGCTTTTTATAATAACTCCTTGAGGCATCTAGTTTACAAAGAAATAATGTAGAGAATATAAAATAAAGTATGGTAAACCCTGACACTCTATCGAGAATTCTAAGGTAATGATATGCTGTTTTTAAATATTTTGGGATTTTTCTCTTGAATTTTATCTGGCGCAAATGCGAAAAAAGTGCTACTTGGGGATAAAGTTTAGAAGACAAAAAATAGTGTTAACAGGAGTGAGTCTAAGAGCAGATTGGTAAGCTTCTAGAGTATAAAAAATCTTAATAAATTCTCTGTTGCGACTTTAAAATCTGAATCCTTTCAGATTTTCTTTCTTTCTCCACCCCCCCCCCCCTGACAGAATTTTTTGTCCGTTTGTAAATTATTTATGTAGTTTGTGTTAGTTGGGGGTTATTATTGCTGTTATTATGTAGTTAGTTAGTTATGGTTTTTGTCATATAATAATGACGAAAAAATGTTCTTTCAAATTTTCGACCTAAAAAGTATTTTTTGTTTAAATCAAATATTGATAATTTAAAATTTACTTCCTTTAAGAAAAAAACAGTTAAGAAAATTAGTTTTTGTGAACAAAACTAAAAAGAAAAGTTGTTTTTTGAAGAAAACTATTTTTTTTTTAGCTTATTGCTAACGAAAAACATTTTCTAATAGAATAATTTTTCCTGACTGTAGGATTAAATTTCTGTTATCAAGGAAAAAATATTTCTTATATATAATTTTCTAAATTTTAAATGCATATTTTCACAGCACAGTTAGATAGCCCAGGGCTTAGACGCAGTAATCATTCTTAATTCCTCCAACGCCTATTCCCCGATTTCTATGCTTGAAAACAGGATTTATGAGGAACTGAAAGACGATTTTGGAGGCCTTCTAATGCTTGTGCCTTGCGGGCTGTCAGGCTATGATGAGTTTGAAAATAATATATTTGGCTAAATTTTTTAGTCAAGGCAAAGCACACGAGGGTTATCATTCTTATATTTCACTATTTATTCAGTTTTTCCTGTTTCCCTACCAGAATGCAAATCAAGTTTAAGTATCTAAGGTGAGGTTTTTCGTAACTGAAAGATAGAGCGTGGCTCTATGTCTCAAGGCCACATTACTAGGTTTAGCCAGCTCTGTTAATATTTAATGCTTTGGCTTTACATTATAATTGTCAACATTTAAATTGTTATGCCGGTGAGAAGTTCTGAGCCAACTTCGTTAAATCAGTTTTGTAGCCTTTGGCTACTAAGTTTTAAACCTTAAAATTGACTATTACTTTAAGTTACATAACCATAAGTGGTTAGCTGATTTGTACGTTTATGTTACAATTCTGATTTAATAAAAAGGTTTGTTTTAAAACCTTCTTAAAATTTAGTAGTATTTTCAGACGAAGCGATAATTCGCTCCAAGGCTTGGTTTGGTTTATTTAATTACGGCAAAGCACACGAGGACTATCTGCCTAAGGGGAGGGATGCCTTCGTGGAGGACTTGGATTTAATTTGTGCTACCAACGAACACCAAACTGTAACATACCACAGTTTTTTTCTGATTCAGTTGGAAGAGTTTGTTTCTTTGTATACTTTACAACAAAAATAAATCAGATTATTGTAAAATTACTATTAAAAGCTTAGATTTTTGTGCCAAATTCATTACTGATTCATTACATTTTAGTCGTTTAATGATGCCTTAACAATAAAATTTATCTGTAGCAAAACTGAATTTACCTATCTATTATAATTTTTTAATGGAACGAATAAGCTATACACACATAGGATAAGCATGCAATTCGAATGTATTTGTAAGAAATAATATTTAATTTTATACACGGTCTTTGTCAGTTTTTCCGTATTTGATTTTATGTGAAGAAAAAACATGCTGTAATTTAAAGGGGAAAAAGTGGTAAAAATGCTACATAGCTTTCTGAATTTCATTCGTTCCTTTGACATCTAACAAAAGACTTTTGACATATCCCTTTTCATGCTACGCTAACTTTGCTTTTAAATTCCATTTCGTGCATCATTTCTTATTCGAATGTTTCAACTAAAATACTTCTTTTTTATTTCGAATTTCTATGTTTGTCATTTTAAGACAGGATGTGCTGACTTTGCAAAAGTAATAATATGCGAGTGTTAAAAAGAAAAAGTAAAAAAGCATTAATACATACTCTCCACTCCGTAAGACCAATAGATAATTGAAGAGCATATTTTTACTCTTTTAAACTATTTTCTATCTTTCTAGATAGAACTAGAAACAAAGATAAAAAAGAGTAGCATTGCTTTATATTTTTTTCCCTCTGGCTGTTGAAGGAAGAGTTCATTTGTTTAAATATAGTTATCTAGTTCTTTGAGTTAGTTTTTTCATTAAAGTGCTATTTATTTTGTGATAAACGTATGACTGGTTCAAGTGATATCGCCTTTCCCCAAATATCCATATAACTTCACAAAAAATTTCTTTGGTGGTAAAACTTGTAGAGTCATTAAGTTATATCGTTGCTGGAACGTGAAAAGGTTGCAGTGCCCTAATCAGGATTCGAACTCCGGACCTCGTGAATACATGTCGCGTGTGCTTCCATTACACCACGAAGGCAGGACCTCCCAAATGCACATCGAGCGTGCTTCCAGTTACACCACGAAAGCATGCGGAAAGTAGAAAACTATTCATGTTTTGCAGTAGTAATCCTCAGTCTTTTTTTTTTTTTAAGAGAACAGTTCGATGCTTGAGTAGAATGTAGGTAACAGTGGAGAACAGCAGTTTCGCTGTCTTAGATCTGTCACATGACCTCTCAATCTAAAAATCTTTTGACCTCTCAATCTAAAAATAGCCTCATTTTTAGTCTATTGAGTCAACTTTTTAAGCTACAGGATACCCACTCTTTGTGTTGTAACTCATACAAAATATGCATATAAAAGAAAATAAAGGAAAAGCTTACCAAATATACTCTTCACAAAGAATAATTTTATTCATACAAAGACTATATATACTTACTGCACGTTAAATTTTGTTCATAGAAATATCTGTCTTTTTTACCAAACGGTAAACATACGTGTTAAGGTAAAAATTTTGGCTTACACCTTTTTCTGGAGTTTTTAATCTGTGGTCATTCTACCTTGGTACCGTGCCTCCAGGATCTTTTAAATCCTAGTAAAATCACCCATTCACTGACTGCAAATAGATTTTTCGGAAAGTTATCAAGACGGCTGGCGTCACTACAAAGACAGATATCATGACCAACCATGATCTTTGTATTGTGCCATCGTCGTATTGGTCCGTCATTTGGAGTTATGATTTGGAGTGTCATTAAGTTTTATTTCTGTCCGTCCTTACCTTCACTGTTTGCCTGCAGCCAAGGTTCAATAGAGCAATAGTGACCTACGTGGCCCTCAACATTTCAAACTTATATCAGGACTGCTATCCTCAATTGCACACCGAAAGGAACATTTCTGGGAATCTTCTTTTCCAGGAAATCTGTCTGGTCGACTGATTAGTGAAAAAGAGACCTCTCGAAAATAAGTACGCCCTTCTTCTTTTGTGCGAGACAGAACTATATGTGAAACATTCTTCTCAGCCTTGTAAAATATTGCGTGTACACACGCACAAATGTGTAGGTTAGAAACTTCAAGCTAATTCCGGGAGGAATGCGTGTCTCGAAGAAGTTTCGTATAGCATCATGCGTGTCTGTCTGTGATAAGGTCGTAAGAATTTTCTTCCCACTAGGCAGAGGCGGAACTGCGCACTTAGTACAATTGAACAATACCTAAAATTATGGTATCCCGCTCCCACTTACATCTATGTCTGTGTTAACTTCTCATGAAATGGCAAAATGAGATAATAATAATGCTCATAAGAAATTATCACCTTCCCTCATACAATTTCTTGTTGTGTAACTGATTGTACATGCAACTGGCAGCTGGAAAATCTATGGTTCGAATCCGGGCGAGGGCACAGTTGCTTTATCATATAATTAGCTTCGGGGCAAAAAACTCCATTTTTACTTTACAATGGCGCTCGACTAAAATGCGGTAAATGTTTATTCGTCACCCCCTAGATTAAGCCGACTGTGTTTTGTTCTTTTCTCTTCAGTCGTCCTTTAATTGAGGGATAATATAAAGAATTGTTGTCTCGTTCTCTGCGCGTTCTTGTGGTGGTATTAATGATAGCATATTCGGTAGCAGTCTCAAGATCCATGGTCTGGATACTGGCTAGGGAAATAACTGATTTTTCACGCTTCTGGATTTGAGAGGAAACAAAAATTCTAATAGCTGAACATAGAACAAAAATTTCAACTAGCTGAATTAAGACCATTCGCAATTATCTTATGGTAGTCTGCCCTTAGGAAATTTAACGAATAAATGAATCTATGAATTAAGATATTTAACAACTTCTGAGAAGTATCTATGTTGATTAGTCCTGAGAGAAAAATTAAAAGTTCTTAATGATCATTGAGCTAATATAAAACGCAAAAAATCTAATAATGATGAAACAAAATAACTCAACTATCTTCGATTCAAATTTGCATTACCTTTTCTTATATCGTGTTTGGACAAAATAGTGAGTATGTTTGGCGGGAACTCCTGCTGGCATGTTATTGTTCCATTAAGCAGCAGAAGTCGCCTCACTTCCTCCTAGTCTATAATATCTGTCACTCAGTTCAGAAAGACAAGATAGTGTCTTTCTTCCGTTTAATATCTGGCACTAGGAGGAGATGATGTCGATGGAACATCGTGTCCATGTAATGTCTTCCGGCGAACGTGCCGAGAGTACGTTCCCTAATCGAATAATCGATGGGACTCCATGTCCTAACGCAGTACCTGTTCCATGTTCCCAGTTCTTTTAGTTTATATTCTGTCACAGGCGAACATGTGGTAGCTTTAATTTGGAAATTTCTTTTCCATTTTCGTTTCCCCCCCCCCAAAAAAAAAACCTTGCAATTTCCGCTGAACGAAGAATAACATTTGCCAGTCTTTAGATAGTTAGAAAGTTGTTCAGCGTGAAAGAAACGGCTATTAACCATGTCAGGTTTTGCTGATGAGATTGCTGCAGATATAATATTTTCTAAGGAGGACACAGGAAGATATTTTTCGTTCTTTATTGAGGATATTGGCCTTTATCTCAGCACTGCAGAATCTAGTTTGGTGGTAAAAATATTTTATGAAATCAGGTTGTTGAATTAAATCTAGAATATTTGGAGAAAACCAAGCGAATATCATTATAGTTTGCATGTTATTATCACATTAAATTTCCGGTTATTGGTAATTAATACCATAAGCTATCAAAGGGGATAACTGTTGGCTATAATTTTTGCAACGTGTAAAGCATTTCGTCGTTTATGAAGTTAGAGGGAAATCATCTTAGTGTAGTTTTTAAGAGCAGAGTTTCTGTCACAGTTCTCGCAAGTATTATTAAAAAGATTCAGATTAGTATGATCTGTACTTTGTTTTTATTTTAATCGATATGTAAGGATTATATTAATTTTATTAACAGTTAAATTTTGAGTTAAACTTCCTTTCCTATCGCTTCTTACTTTCAACTTACCACCTCCGGCCAGAACGTAGTTTTAGAATCATGTCTGAATGCTAATGAGGAAGAGCCGTATTTAACCGCGAAGTTCTACTGTCTTAGTGAGAGCGATATCAGATATTCTGGCTAGCACGCTACCTCCTTTTTATGCTACTCTCTCGTAAGCTATTATTATGTTCGGCCATACTTTAGGCCCTTGATAGCTTCGTAGTCAATTAGCGTTAAGGGGCCAACTCTGTAGAATTTTGATAGTTTCGGCTATATCTAAGTTAAGATTAGTTAAGATTAGTTAAGTTTAATTCTTAGTTTCCTAAGTTTAAGCCCGTGTGTCTGCTTTATTGTACAACTCCAAGACGGAGTTTTTGTTAAACTTTAATTGGAATAATAAAGCGTTATTTCACCCTTCTCACCTGTTGTTTTCTACCTCACAACCTCAAGCGATTATTCGCTTACTAGTTCTTAAGATTCTTCACATTCATCTGTAACTTAGAAGTACACAGTAGGGAATCCTACAGATCTTACAGCAAAGAGTAGCTTCTGTAATTGCAGCATTTCTTACTTGAAGTCATGAAAGAGGTAAAACTGGGGGAGGGGAAAAAAACGCTTTTTTTTTTGTTCGATTCCATACACTTCAGAAGTTAGAGATATTCTGAATCTGATTAGCTACTATTATTAGAGACAAAACCTTTTTAATACAGGGCCTAACATAAATGATTCATTCGTTTTGAAAAGGCTATATTATTGTTGTCCAGATGTTCATCTTGTCAATTGACCAGATGTTCGAAATACTGCAAAACACCGTGTGGAAGATTTTGCGTCAACGGTTGCATTTCAAACCGCACCTTGAGTTCCTGCAATAATTAAAGCCGGAGGATTACGCCCGTCGACTAGATTTTTGCGTCAACATGCAGGAAGGATTGGATTTCGCCACCAAGTTGATATTCCGCGATGAAACAACGTTCCACGTATCCGGGAAACTTGGTGTTCTTTTCATATATTTTTTATGTGTGTACGTGTAATACTTTTGAAAATATAGCCTTTTGAAAAGGAATGAATCATTTATGTTAGCCCTGTACTAAAGTTTAAAAAGATTTGCAAAGGCTGCTTCATCTTGCATGTTAAACTTTTTTCGCGTTGTGAAATGGTTTTTTGACAGAAAACTGTGGAAAACAGTCGACTATGAGTTTCGTTTAGTTTTGGAAAAATTCGAGAAAAAGAAAAATAGGCAAGTGATTTCTCTGAAACCTTTCCTACTGAAAACCATCCCAATTGCAGGTATTTGGCCGAGAAAAGAGAATTTAGTAAAGGTTTTGGGAAGTTTTTTAGACTGTCATTGCATGGTAGAATTTGTTCATTTTATATTAAATTAAATCACACTATTATTTGCGATTTTTTACGAAAAATGCTAGAAATATTGAGAACAAATCTTTAACCAGCAAGGTGTTTGCCGAAAACATAGCAGAGGAAATAACGCCAGAAAAATCACTGTCATACAAAACGTCTCAGGGGGAGAAATGAGAAAAAGTACCGCCATTTCTAAAATATGATGGTAGGAAATAAAGGGGTGCAAAAACATCATGGCACAAAATTATGTGGTAAATAATAAAGCGCCTACAACTCGTCGCAGGCGTGCGTTTTCAAACTGTGCAAGTTTTAATTGAATTTTTAAGCAGTGACTTATGAGAGTTAAATAAGAAAAAGTAATATTTCTGCCTTTCAAAATTTATTCATCTGTCTACAATTTGACATTTTATAATAGCTGAAAAATGTTTACCAAAAAAGCAAGAAGGAAATTTCAGCATTCAAAATCTGGAAATTTAGTAAAAAGTAATGCTACGTATAACCGGTTGAGAGAATTTTTCACGAAAATCTATTAATACGCTTTTAATCAAAAGGCTAATTAAATTATTACTTTTCATAGTTAGCAATATGAAATGTTTCATAGTTAGCAATTTCATAGTTAGCAATTTCATAGTTAGCAATATGAAAGTTCAGAATCCTGTAAACTGATTATACGTATCATTGGTTTTTACTAATTTCCAGATTTTGAAAGCTTTTGTTTCCTTCTTGCTTTCTCAGTAAAAATTTAATAGTTAATACAAAAATATGGAATATTGGGCGGGGAGGGAATATTACTTGTCTTTCTTCTTGTGCTCACAAATCACTGCGCGAAAATTTGCTTAAATTTTTTATGTTCAGAAAACACATATGTGCCATGTTATCATCATGCGATTATTTGTAGGTGTTCAATTTTTTATCGCAAGTTGGTAAGACTATGTTTAAGATCTGTAAAGTTATTGCATCGTTTTATTTTCTGTCACGATGTTATAAAACTGCGATATTTTCTCATTGCTTTCTTTTCTTCTACGATGTTTTTCACGACTGTGTTTTTCCCTTGCGTTGTTTTTTCAGTTACGTTTTCTTTTGCGATGCTTTTTCATGTAACCGCTGGCAATTACTTCTTGAAAGCTGTGCTTTCCAATGTTCAAGCCTTGAGGTTGTTCAACAATTTGCATATTTAATGTAAAGGAAAGTTAATTTTTTCAATTCTATTCTGTTTAAAAAATTGAAAATATGCAGTTTGTTACAAGTCATATGCTTTTAAATTTTTTTGTGTGTGCTTGTTTAATTGTTTCAAATTTTAATAATACAGTTTGTTGTGTTTAAAATTTAATTACGTTTTAAATTTTAATGGTTAGTCTTCCATGTGTTTGACTGGAATTTGAAATTTCCGAATTCCAACTTGTTTATTCATATATATTTTTATTTGTTTATTTATTTATTTTTATCAGAATGATATTCATATTCAATTCAGAGGGGAATTAATTCTCAGAGGTTTAAGTATAATGGACTTTACGTTATATTTCGTTTAATTTTAGAACATCTGCGTAAACTCATGCAGGAAATTTTGAGATGCATTATTTAGATATCAGTTTAATTATTTTCATATATTTTTCTATTATACTCATTACATACATATTCATGATTAACATTCAGCTTTTTTATCATTATTATTTTGTATACTCAGTAGCAATTAAATGCATAGAAAGGATTCAATTAGATAATAATAAGGATTCTATAAACATATTCTCTTGCCTTTTTTAATCACCGTTTGCTTACTATGATTTTAATGTTATTTTGTAAGTAACATATATTGGTTTGAAAATGTAATGTATCGTCATTGAGATCGTATGCCTTAGTATTCATTCTTAACTAAGCTATTATTAATAGGAAATAGCGGTATCTACAATCTGTTACTTTAAAATAAAAACTTCAAGGTTATTTTCCGCCCCCAAATTTGACTCGTAACAATAAAAAATAGCTGCGAAAAATAGCTTGACTGGCTTAATTTTTTCCCTTACTTTATTTCCGTTTAGCATGTTTCATCTGGTGAAAAGCACAGGAAATAAGAATGACTTGAACTACAGTTTCAAATGGAGAAAATAGATATGCGGTGATGACGACACGAGTTATGATCGCTAACGTGGGCGAGAAATGGAAACGGCCTTGAAGTGCCTATTTTAAAGTAACAGTACTGCAAAATGTTACATATGTCGCAGGAAAATGAGGAGCAAATCCGAGGATGCCCAAGTGTTTCCCATGCAGATGATTTCCGAAAACTAATTTTAGTATCAGCATGCCCGGAAATGGCTTCTTTGGTGTGTGATCTATTGCATTAATAATGACTGTTTATTTCAAATACATTATAATCTAAGAATATAAGAATTTATATATAATGTATTCTTTATTTTTATTTTTAGCTGAATTTCTCTGTGTGGCTAAATGCAGACATTCTGAGTGGACCAATCAATTCTACTACTCCACCATTGCCTCCAGATGTATTTCTATCGCTTTGCCATCAATACTTTCCTAATGCTGTATTATCCTTGGGATGGACTACTTACTGGTTCTCGACGTTTCCTCCTGACACATGGCATTATGAGTGGATACATGTGAGAAAAATGGCAGACACTATTCGGTGTGCTTTTGATAGCCGGTATCCATCTATAACATTTCCTGTTAGAGGAATTTTCGCCTCAAGATCCATAGAACAATTACAATGGCTTTTAGGTGTCATACCTGGAAGTACTTTGACTGTTTGGAATTCAAAATTCGATGCTTTGGAATTTCAGGATCTCGTTAGGATTCGGTCATCTTTCCCTAAAGGTGCCGTTTATTACGATGTTCCAAACTCCGTCGGAGAAATGTTTCGTGAGAAAAAAGACAATATTGTACCATTGGATGAAACAAATTCACCAAATGATCATCAGTGGATTACACTTACCCATGGACAAAGCGATTTATGCTCATCTTTTACTTACATGATCAACAATACCATCGTTTTCGGAAGATCGCTTACAACTGCAGTTCTACTAAAGAATTTAATCTTTCTAAATAATGATAATAATCTAAAAGTGAAAGGCAGAGTAGTGTTTTTTAAAGACAAAGATCAAGTAATTACGGCTGCAGAAAGCACCCATAGTCTTGCCATCGTTTTGGTAGACGTGAATTTGTTTTCTAAAGAAACTTCTAGTTCAGAACAGGAGAGGCTGGACTTAACTCAAAGCGATACTGATGTCTTGTGGTCGGCATTCAACGCATCTGAAGTTCATAAATTCGCTTACGAGTTTTCTGGTGAGGGTTCAGCTTGTAAACTGTTTAATCTTGATACCACTAAAAGCCGTTCTTTTGATGCATGGAGCATTCCTTGTGATATTCTTCATGATGGTGTATCTTTTAAAGAACTTGCTGATGCTGGAGTTTCTGAAGTATCTTCGAGAAAGAGGTTGGTTCTGCCACAAGGTCCTTTTATGTTTGGTTTCGTATCCACTGGAGAAGGATATGTTGCTATATATGACTTGGAAATAACTGGTAAAAAAGAGGATCTTTCGACTGTTTCATCATCTTATATTAATCTTTCCTCTACGCTATTTATCTCCTTCCTTTTATCATGTGTATTGTCTTATATTTTTTTACGCCGATGATACTTTTATAACATCTAAGTGACTGTGATAGCAGTGAAAGATGTATAATGAAAAAAGTTCTTAATTGTAAAAAATATATTTTCTTATTTTCTTTTATAGTGTATTATTTCATTTTGTTAGATTTACTTTGTATCAAATGAAGGTATAGTTACAGATACTTATTTAAATCATGCATCAAATTCTTTTGCTACTCAATTGTTTTCATGATAACTTCATCCAAACGGAGGTAATTTTTAAGTCGCTGAAAAAGTCCAATAAGATAATTCTGAGCATCTTAAAACCACTAGATAGTTACGTTTGAAGTTATCAAAATATTTATGTAAAAGCATTAAATTGAAAAGTAAGATACATTTTGTAGGGTAGAAATATAAAATGATCAAAGCGAATGATTTTGACTTGGTAATCTCACTTTCATAGAGGATCTAAAGCAAAATTACGTAACCTGTGAGTCAACAACAAAGCTATTCTGTTGGGACATCTTGGATGCAGTTTTGAAAAGGATCTGAAAATCGTAAAGTGGTTGACGGATGTATTCGGAGATTCAGAGGATGAATCCAGTGTACTTTTGAAAACCGTATTTGGTATTCTATCCAATAAAAAATACGTTAACAGATAACAAAATTCGCCTTATCAATACAAACTCTGTTGAATGTGAAATTGAGAGGAGCATGAAAGATACAAAATAATTTTTTTTAAATGTTAAAATAAAATAGTAGTTCTACTTATTATTTATTTCTCTTCACAGTAGGAAGACAGAAATAGATAAAAGAAAAAGGTCTTTTCGTGCAAATGTTGAACAACAAGTATAAGATTAAACTACAAATTCCATAAACTAACCTAATCTAACATTTAAGCCTACGAGTCGAATTTTCGCTTAGGCTTTTACTATAAATTCAGAATACTAAAATAAACATAACAGTAATTTTATATTAAAAAACTAAAATGTATTAGAGCCTTCATCTTGAACAATAAACTAAAATCAGTCAATGCAAATTTCCTTCCGTTTCTCGTGGCAATTACAGAAAATATGCAGGTTCAAATTAGTTACAACCACAAATTAAATTCTTTCCTAACATGTTAAATGTAATGATTAATACTTGTAACGTGTATTAATTATGTATTAAGATTCCCCTCATCTACGCGACAATATCAACAGCGAGAAAGTTTCGCTCGCATCGGTTTCAACTCAAAGGAGTCTATTTTTAAGATTACGACTGATCCCAAATATTCTGTTTTAACATACTGTATTTAGAACCATTTAGGTCTGCACATATTATGGTGGAAGCAAACGAAACAGTAGTAATATAGGATAGATTTGAACATAAGGTAAAAGTGAGTTAATTAAAATAAAAATTTACATAAAAGACACTGGAACAATTTGAAGTATTGATTTATTTGACTAAACAGTTCTTTTCTTCCTAAGCATTTAGAAAAAATAATCGAAGAAAAGTAGAACATATAAATTATAAAATAAGAACATTCAATTAATCAAAACCAGGACTCAAGGAAGATATTGGAAAAAATCAAAAAGTATTTTAAAGATGAGTAAAATGCCAGCGTGTAGATTTTTTACGTTAATTTTATCCTCGTTATCTTACCCTTTTGCCTATGTCATCACTTCTACGTTCGTGCACTTCCACTGGGATACGAATTAATTAATGTATATAAGCGCATAATTTATGATTTTGGGAGAATGTCTCTGCCAACTAACACTGATTAGTGTTATAGTGATGATTGACAGTGTTAGTGTTAGCTGACAGTTGCTCTGTTACACCCCAGTTGCTCTGTTACTGTCTCACAAGATTTTAGATGCAGATAAATGTTAAATTCTACATGAAGCATGAATGTGTGTCGTGCATGGGAAGAATATGTTACACATGATACATATGATAGAGTGCATTCAATTCATGATACATTGCAATGACAATTGGTACATTAAGTAGCTCAAAATACATAACTTTGATACTTGAAATATAGAACAGAGAGGTTAGAGCTTAGATGCGTAATCATAGTACACAGTACCTTAATCATTGAGTTAAAACAACTTGATGATTATGAACATTGTAATTAGAGTCCATCGAGCCTTCTGCATATATACATAAAGATATTTCAACATACCAAAAGAAGCCTCAGAATGACGCTTGTTAATTGAAACCAAGATATGAAATTTAGTCCTTACACTTGATACATTAGAAAGATATTAAGTACAAGATATATTGAAATTTACATACATAATACATAAATGCATAAAGTAACTGTATTTCATACTACAGGCTAACACAAAGATATTTCGAAATACATAATGATACATCATAATGACGCTTGTTAATTGAAGCCAAGAAGGGAACGTTTAGTCCTCAGAACATGAAACATGAGAAAGATATTGAAAACAAGATACATGAAGTTTGACTCAGAGGAATTATGTCTGCTACTGTACGCGTTATCTTATAGTACATGATACATTAGAATTTTCTTAAGGTGGGTACGGGAGTACCATATTTAGTATAGAATACAAGAAAATTTTTGACACTTACTACAAGGTGCCAAAAGGTTAAAGAGACCAGGTGCATTAACATTAAATAACAATACAATAATCAATAAGTTAAATCTGCGTGTTAATTGTCAATAAAGCCTGACTTCTAAGGATGTTGCAAGTGTCAGTAAATAATAGAGTGACACATTCATTAAACTTATTATGATACATGATGCGAAGGAGTAGAAGGTGTTACATAGTACATTGCATAATACAAACATGCTTCAATTAAATGTTATTCATTCAACTTACTAATAGAGGGATATTTCTATATACATAATGAAGCCTCAGAAGAACGCTTGTTAATGAAAAAAATGATATGAATTTTAGTCCTCAAAATATGATACATGAGAAGATATTTTAGTACAAGAATTCTTAATGTTTACGTGAAGTAAAACTCAGAGGGGTTATGCTTGCTATAGTATGCCTTATCTTTTAGTACATGAACATAATACGTAATATTATACATGATGCGAAGGAGTAAGAGGTGTTTCATAATACATGCATAATACATAAATACTAAAGTATACGTATATGATACAGAATCATTTGTTTCACGCATAATTATCTACCTTGATTAAAATATGTTTCATATTTTATGTAATATTAGAAGCATTCACAATTAACGAATTACTTCTAACCTAATTGATGTGACATTTCTTTTACTCCTTTTGGTATCTCTATCTATACTTTAAAAGACACATAATTAATGATTGATATATACAATGAGACATATAATTAATGATTTACAGACTACCTATCTCTAAAATGAATTATACGAAATGGAACATTTACTTTAATATATGGTTTCAATGCCAAGATAATGCTCTTTCAAACTAAATTCATCTCTAATTAAAACGTCAAGGAAATGATAATTTATTGTACATTTGCATTGCATTTATAGATTGTTGTCTTTCTCAGCGTGACATGTCGGAAGATTTAAGATATTTCCATACGATCAGATTAATGATGACACTAATCTATATTTCTTGTGCGATAGGTTTATTTGGCTCATTTTAGAGAATGATAAATTTATGTTGATAAGGTACATGGTAATTTTTAAAAGCACGGAAGAAAAGTTTCAAAATTTCAGAATGTCGAAAATTATGCAAAATTAGCCAGTCTGCTACCAAATTTTATTTTCTATTTGCCTACTAGAATTTCTCACCATCTATTTCTCCCCCCTTCTATTTCGGATTTTATAGTTCTTTTTCGGCGGTTAAATTTGCATTTTTCTATATATTTGCATCATTCCATATTCTCCAACTCAGGTAGTAAATTAAAATTTACAGATATATATCCTTATATTTGCACAGGCAATAGGTATTCTAATTACAGTAAAATCTCTAGTAACCCGGCATCCAACTAACCAATAATAACAAAATAATAGGACTTCTGAAGGTCAAAATTTAATATCGAAATTTAAGCCTACGACATAAAAAATACATTAGTGTGCTAAACTAAGGCATTTTTTCTGATTTTGGCTGTAATTCGAAAAAGTAACTTGGATACATTAAATTCATACTACAGAGGACAATATAATACTTAAAGGATGAGGAAAGTATAGCAATAAAAAAATAAGTAGGAAACATACAGTATGGAACGAATAGAAAAAGGCATTATTGACTAAATCATTTCGCTCAAAAAACTGTCTGGCAAAGACTATCTTTTGACACTGAACACCATATTATCTAACAGTTCCTGGATAAGAGTTCCCATTCTTCAAAGAGTATCAGTTTCGGTTGTCTGGTGTTCTCCAGAGTGTGAGGTGGTGCCGTGTCAAGTGTCTCCCTAAAGTATCCAACACATGTTAATTGGGATTTAAAAACACGCTGGCCAATCCGTTCTGTGGATATCTTCTTCACTTACCAGGAGCTTCTCAATATCATGAGTCCTGTGTAGTCGTGCATTGTTATCCATAAAAACAAAGCTGGAACCAATGACACCTCGAAAAAGACGTGCGTGGGTAGGATAACTTCATCACAGTAACGATCTTCGGTAAGTGCACCTCTGTCGAAAATTTGGAGCTTCGTCCATCCATTTAATAAAACGTCGCTCTATAACAAGCACGCCGGGACCATCCCAGTGGTCTCATTTCCTGATGTTAGTGGTATGAAAGCATGTCCCTACCTTTATCCCTATCACCTGGCGCCGAGAATCGTTTGTCAGACGGAAGCGACTCTCATCTGTAAAGAGGATGTAACTCCATTGATGAGGTGTCCAGTTTTTTTTTGCTCTCCACGCCACTGTAAACAGTGCCACTGATATGCTGCTGTCAATCGTATGCAGCGTTCAAGACAGCGGGAGAATAGGCCACCTTTATGAAGTAGTCTGACCACAGCAAACCGGCACACCTATCGTCCGGTTACCCCAGTATCTGGATTCGATGTATCGGTCATCAGACCCTTTGTTTTCCTTGGCCCACCACCACCAACTTTTCTTACAACTAAAGAAAATCAGAAGAACATTAGAAATTCCACTTCATTGTTTTTTTTTATCATGAGATTGTGAATTTCTTTAGGAATCACCTTCTCTTCAGTTTTGGTCCGTAGTCCTATAGTACAGTTTTGACTAGTGCTCCTTTTCTGCGCCTGAATGTTATATTATATTGGATAGTAAGCGTAAGACAAATTTATATTGAGTTGGCAATGAAATTCAAGGTAACCGTGCTACTGCGTAGCATGCCAGTATAATCATCAGTATCACTGGTACGTCTCGTAATTTACTTCGCTTTACTTTAGTATCACTGGCACGTCTCGTAATTTACTTCACTTTACTTTCGTGAGCTAATTATAGAAAATATTTTGATTTTTGGAATCTACATGGTTAATTTTACTTGCGTATTGTTATCCATAATATCAACTTCTTTGGAAGTTATTCATACTTTTATTCCCGGGGAGGGAGGAGATGTATTCTTAGCAAATTCTCAGAAATGTTGCTTCTTCTGAGAATCTTAGTAAATGAAATCCATTCTTCGTGGAAATGCAGGTTTGGGAGTCTTTTTGGGTTTGATAGCACATGCAGAGCTAGAAATAGTTCAAGGCATACTTTGTGATTTTATTCTGTTAATCTTACATCGGTTCTCTTCTTTTCGTTTAAACAGTTAGGAAGGATATATTTAAGCTTCCTTCAATTGAGCTGATGATTATCCCTTTTTGTTCAGCCTTAGTAATAACAGCTGTTTCTTATTAGATTTTCGGAAGAATAAAATTATCGGAATTTTTTAATTTTGAGTGCTTTTTGCCTATGAATACCGAGAGTAGGCTTGCATAAATAAAAACTTTCAATTAAAGGAGAACAAGAAGTAATTAAAACGAGATAAGAACAAGCTCCTCATTGAGATTAATATTACAGAAATATAATCATCCAGTATAATGGTAGCACATTTTGTCTCTTCCTTTATCTACACTAGAGATGGTCAAAACCACTCTTATGTGAGATCAGATTGGAACTATTTGTTCACTGAACTGAATCGTTTCTGTAATGATGATTCGGGATGAACAGCTTTCTCCTTCTAGAGTAGCATCGGCCATTCGGCGGTGTAAGTAAAAGCAATAAAAGGATGAAGTTACTTCAGAAGCAGCCATCATCTTCAGTAGCTTCGTCAGCCGATAGAACCAAAACCCATTACACAATTTTAGTCTGTAAGGTTGTGTTGAGACGGCGACGTAAATGTCACAGAGTCACAAGGAATAAAATGCGGGTCTTTCTCATACATCTACGACACAGGGTCTAAGCAGTACCCACTTAAGAGAAGCTAAATTTGCGTATACGTGGATTGCATCTGTAGCTTTCCCGCTCTGTTTTCCCATTCAGGTTTCGCGAATTCGCTCTGACTGGTCGGCGCTTATCCCAAGTCGGCATAAAATTTAAAACTTCGAACTTTATGCCAAGAGCTATAAAGGGTATAAGGGTATAAAGGGCATAAGGGGGTTAAGCGGAGCTGGAATTGCCAGGCAACCAGTCTGTGCTATGTCAGAAAAATCTGGCTTAGGTTCAAAAGTTTTTTCGAAAAAATTATAAAAGTTGTTCAAAAATACAAATTTTAAAAATAAATCATAAAAAATGGGCATATTGTATTTAGAATGAAAGCTAAATTTCGAAATGTGAAAGGAAGAGACAAATAACTTTAATAAAAAAAGAGAGATTAATAAATATATACCAAACTCAATTAACATTGAGGAGCTAAAATTTTGAGAGCTAATTTTTTAAAAGCTACTCGTGCGATTTTTTACAAAACTTCGCGCTTTGGCATAATTTGAGTCGTAGAAATTGAAATATGGAAAAAAATGGTATATTAATTGAGAAAAAATTCGATTTTTATATAAAAATACCTATGTTAGAACAATGCTATATATAAATCTAATGTATATCCCAAGTTGCGCGTTCGAGATATGGAAAACACAAGTTAAATTTCGACAATCGGTCTAGTAGAACGAGAGATATAGAATTGTCTCCCCCCCTTTTTTTTTGCAAGGTGTACAATACAGGATCAGAGCCTAACACTAAAAAGCTAGGTGAAAATTTACGCGAGGAAAGACGGCATTTCTTGAAAAATGTTATTTAACTGAAAAATACAAACTGCATGTTTTACTATGTCAAGGTACTATTACAAAATCTGTTTGGAATTAAAACTGATTTGAATCTTTCTCAAACACCATATGTGTTTTTTAAAAAAAAAATAAATTACTGTTCATAAGTATGCATTCTGGTAGTTTTTAAAGCCTTTTCCTCTTTATTAAAAAACGTTTCATAAAGATTTCAACAATAATGAACAATAAAAAATTAAATACTTGCAAAGAATGTTGTCTATATGTATGCCAAAATATGTTGATTTACACATTGACAACTGGATCAAAATTTCCAACCAATGAAGAAAGGTTTGATAGATTAAAACGAAAACCTCGAAAACTTTGTGGAAATAAAGTAACTAAAACAAGAAAGATTTTGGAAAAGTTGTCACAAATGTCTTTATCGTACTTTGGTGGAAAATATTTATAAAAAAAGAAAAAGATTCTGTTTACAAAGGTGAACAACATTTTCTCTGCTTTTGCTTCATTAGCCGCATTACAGATAGTTCAGACTGAAAATCACGAACTATTCAGAGCTTGAAAGGATATCTTGTTTTCAGAAAAACATGGAAAATATATTACACTTAGTGGGGATTTCGACTCAGATCTTGAGGACTGCGAAATCAGGTTGTTAAGATTTAAAGATCTCAAACTTTGCTTACTGAAAAATTTCCAACTTGCAATTAGACGCTTATCACATCCATATTACTTCAAAACAGAATTTTCTTCAAGGTTTTTAAAATAATAACATTTAAGTTTATCGAAATTTTTTGTTACACCTGAAATGCAAGAAGAGTTTTACATTTTTATCTTCTTGTCAACATTTAGAATAATCATTGCTCAAAGTTAGTTAAAACAAAAGAATTCTTTATCTTGATTTGAGGAAACGAATGAAGGCGGTTATTTTTTTCCCTTTATCTTGAACCTTTAGATTGCTGAACTATTTTTAATCGTTTGCTGGTTTGAAACCTTTGTTTTTGCTTCTAGAATGAGCAATGAAAGTTATTAAGTAAAATGGTTGATGATAAGCTGATTTTAATTGTAACTACCCGAAGCTGTTCTTTTTCACATTTTTTAAATCTGATTTCATAGAGATGTTGATTTTGAAGGTGCTGTAAAATGAAAAGAGTCGCTTTCTTGCTTCGTTGCAATAGTACTCAACTCGAAAGTTATCCTTTGGTGTAAGAAACTTTATGACATTTGATAGGAATGGTTCGTTAATTGATTAAGACCAAACTCGCTAGGGTTATTTATCTAAGTAGAGAAAGACGTGTTCGAGAAAAATATTCATAAGGTTAAAACGTATGTTTCACAAGGTATTTTCTCCCTCCTTTCTGCATACCTTCTTGGTGTTAACGGTTAGCATACTCAGCGCATATTCGAGAGGTCCAGGTTCGAGTCCCGGCAAAGGCATTGCACGTTTTTCACGTCTTCCGCATAAAAAATAACCTAATGACTTTACAGTAGCGCCCTAACTAAAAAGCGGTGGATAATGATTCCTCACCACCAGGATTTGGAGACTGGATTCCCTAATCCTTAGTCGCCCTTTATTAGGGGAAGTATATAAGATATTTTCTCCCTCCTTTCTGCATGTCTTCGTGGTGTAACGGTTAGCACACTTGGCGCATATTCGAGAGGTCCAGGTTCCAGTCTAGTCGAGGGCATTGCTCATTTTTCACATCTCCTGTTTCAAAATAATCTAATGTCTCTACAAAGTGTTAAATTAAATTAATTAAATTATATCCCCATTTTAATTAGACTTCAGTGCTCAGCGAACGGACAGTAGTATTAAATTAATGCGGAAAGTTTTTTTTCCGGTAAATAGAAAACTGAGAAAATGGCTTTTTATATGGAGAAAATTCTTTTTGAAACCGGGATCTTAGAAACACCTGGAACACCTTTTCAAAAATTAGTAGCAATTAAATTATTTAAATAGAAATCAAACGTAAAATGTGAATGCATTAATAATTAATTTTTTGTAATTCTCAGTCATCATGCTTTTCCTTTTGTAAAAAATTCCTAAATTGTGCCAAACTGGTTGCGTTTAAACGTACGTACCGAATAAGTTAACAGTAAGCTTAACTGTGCTCGAATTAAGAGTAAAAGATTCTTAAATCTGAAGTTCTGGGGATCCTGAATCTAGATGTTCCAGTCCGGACAACTTGAAGTTTTTTGTATTTAATATATGTTGGGTTGCTAATTTTTTTCTTAAGAAAACATTGCATATTTAAAGTTTTGAAAATACTGGTGCAAAACACTTAAATTTATTCTTTAGCAAGCATTTAATTTTGATGAATTTTTATCGAGATTTTTATTTTGATGAACATACTTAATTGGATGGTTGAGACAGAAGTCCTAAAACGTACATATTTATAGAGCTACAGATGTTATTAATAACATTAATGTTTAAAAGCCCATTTTATAAAAGTAATTGCTTACCATACTGCATACTGCATCTTAATTAAAAAATTCATATTGTGTCTTATATTTTTAGTTGTACAGTTTTGCTCTATTACGTCACAAATTATTTCGAACTGAAACGAAATAGGGATTTTAACCTGTTTTTTTGAAATATGCTAATGAGACTATATTATTCCGAATCGCGTGCTAAGAATTCAACATTATATACCGTAATTATTTTTAACAAATTCAAAGGATATTTTTGATGGAATATATGTATGACAAAAGAAACGTACGCAATAATTCCACTCATGTTCTATATTGCGGAAGAATACTTCTGAAAAAGCAACTGAAAATAGTCCCAGTATTGGCTTCAATATCTATGAGAGGAAACGACAGAGCCTTTTCAGTCTTGTTTACATCTCCTAATTTAGTGGATATCAGGTAAGAAATTTTTGGATTTCTTATTTTGTTGGTAGGCTTTAAATTGAGTATTCAAAGGTTTAAGAGTGTATATATTAAATAAATTTTTACGTTGTTATAGATTTTATTTTAAAAGATTCCTTTCGTACTACGATTATTGCAAACGGCTTAAATTTAAGAAGCGTGGAAAGGGTTTAGTATAGTTCATGTGTCAGAAAACTAGCTTCGGCAATACTAAAATAATTAAATTACAGTTTCATATTGGCTACATAAAAAATTTCATTCTTTTTGATTTATAATTAATAGAACCAAAATTAAAAATTTCTCAGATGACCTAGAAAATAGCCCAATGGCGAAGACTTGTGCATATTGATAGCTCAACTTGGGTTCGAATTCCGCGGAACGTGTTAAATTGCATCGGTATTTCCATACATTTTTCCTAGTTATCTAGGTATAAATTAGCTTAGCTTATTTTAGCACAGCTGTAACGTGAAGATTTTCTTAAGCACGAATATAGTGCAATTTTCCTTGGATGTTTTTAAGGCATACCAGCGGTCCGAGCGGTACAGTCGCTGAACACTGGTAGCTCTGTCCGAGGTTTGAATCCCGCGAACGGGCTGGCTGCGTGGGTGTTTCCGTGGTTTTCCCCATGTGTTACGTGTATACGAGCCAGTTTCCCTCAAAGTCTTCCACGAAGGCATCCCTTCCCTTAGGCAGATAGCCCTCGAGGCTTTGCCGTAATTAAATAACCTAACCTTTTAGGCAGATAGCCCTCGAGTGTTTTGCCATAATTAAACAAAACGAACAAATTCTTGGATTTTTTACTAATGTATGTTTCCACTTAAGAACACAGAATTCTTGTGCTTTGTTGCAACTGCCTAAATTCAGGATAAATCGTTCAGGACAACATGCAACAGAAAGTAATTCTAAGAAAACCTTCATTATCGGCGAATATTGCTGATAAGCATAGTGAATATAAAAAAGCAGGTTTCAATTTGTTCCTCTATTTCAGTTACTTTTGTCTAGATGTCAAAGAATTTTTTAATCTTTTTCTGCTAGTTAAATTAACTGCTTCCTTCCTTATTATTAAAACGTTTTTTTATCGCTCTAAAGAAAACCTTCAACAAATTGGTTTTGCGTGCACGCATTTTTTACAGTGTACGTCCAAAAAAGAACACTGGAATTTTTCCTAAAAAAATTAATCTCAACATAATCGCTGAATTCAGTCACTGTTCGACCACTAATTTGATCAGTCGTTTGCATTTTGTATGTTTGAAAGAATGAACCTCCGTTCATTTGTTTGTTGTTGTGACTTATCTCGCTTGCCTGACAGAAACATCCGAACAAGTTTACGAAATTCAACTTCTCAAGGAGTGCAACATTGCGTCTGTCGTTGGCAAGAAGTCTCAGATCTCATTTTTATAGTTTTCGGGTACTTATTGTTGGTTCTTTGCGTATGAATTTTAACAGAATTATTGTAATTTTCATTGTATACTTAAGGTGATTGCCCATTCATACTCGAATGGGCATGAAGTACTGCGCCGACAGCTTCAAATTTGTAAATGAAATCGTAGAAACATCTTTTTAAAGGAAATTTCAGTTCAGAAAGCTCCCTTATTTAGTTTCCTCTTACAATTTGAAGCTATTTTGCATAATAGATAACATTCTGAAATAGAAATATTTCTTTTTATTCGAACTCGAACATCGCATGAGATGTCTTCTTATTGAACTTTATACTGGAAAGCTTTAAACTGGAACTTTCAAATTTGGACAGGGGAGCTGCGCATAAGAGCAAATCATCGACGGGGACAATTCTTGTCTCGTAGTCAAGATAAAATTCTCGTTTTTGGTCTGGTGTTAACTATTTGACAGTAATGCGAAATCAGGTGAGAAATCGAACATTTGCCGTTGTCCGCTTTCGTGTTATAAATCTTGATTGTGGTTTTTTCCTCTCCAGAGCGAAAGATCTTATAAAAGCTATTTAGAATGCCATATTTAAACTAATAAATAAAAAATTCTTTCTCTTTTATGAAGTGAAAATCATCTCTTTATAAATTAACTTATTTTAACGGAGCTGTGATTTGAAGCTTAAGATTTTGCTAAGATTTCCTGCTAAAATCATCTAGGTATAAATTAGCTTAGCTTATTTTAGCACAGCTGTAATGTGAAGATTTTCTTAAGCATCCCTGTTGAAATTCCTTATGTATCAACCAATCTGCATCTGTCCTGAGCCAAATCAGACAACTGTTTTAAGAAACGTATTAGGAAACCGTATCAATAAAAATATATCCTTCCGCATTCTTAATGAGTTGCATACTTTTCACTTCTTAATTAGATAATAAAAGTTGTCCACAAAATAATTCTTACTTTAGGTACATAGCCCTTGAGTGTTTTGCCAGAATCATGCAACCGAATCTATTTCTAAAGTTTTCTTGGTAATTAGAAAAAAGACGGTGATGCTTAAACTTTCTTTGCGATTGTCTCGCTGTTTGCCGTGAAAATATAGAGAAGTTAGTTTCAAACATGCTAATCCAGAATTATTGTTCTTTGATGATTGTGTAAAGAACTGTAGGTTGTTTTGCCCATGGTCAAATAATCTAAGTATTGATTTTACTGAAGTTGATTCCAATTTATTTTTATAAAGTTAACATAATGCTTAACTCTTTGCCTGTGGAGTATATTTCAGAAAAATGGACTTTTTTCTTATTCTTTCACTACAAGTTCTTTCAAGCAAATGTCAGTTTTCAAATGAATGTGTGACGTGTATAGCTGTATATTGGTGAAACAGCAATTTAAATTGCTTTAAATATTTCATAAAATAACTTAGAAAATAATTCATCACGTGCACGAAGTCGGTTTAGGCATTCCCAGTTTGCCCAGACTAGATTCGGATGATACTTCAGAGGTTAAATAAACTAAGGTTCTCGCACTGTAAGCTTTAATAAATTGATACAGTCAATAGTTCTCTCCCCTTTAAAGTTTTAAATGAGATTACATTTTGGGTATTTGGGCACACCAGCGGTAAAGTCTCTGAACACTGGCAGTTCGGTCCGAGGTTCGAATCCCGCGAACGGGCAGGCTTCATGGGCATTTTCGTGGTTTTCTCCATGTGTGACGTGTATGCGAGTAAGCATCCCTCCCCTTGAGCAGATAGCCCTAGTGTGCTTTGCCATAATTACAGCACCACATTTCGGATATTTCATCCACTGGCTTGACAAACTTTTGAATTCAGATTTTTATTTATGGTTAACTATAAATACTCCGCTTGATTGTCTATTTTAGAATTTAACACTTTCTAAGATTTTGCGAATATTTGGATTTTATCGCGAATGTTCGAATAATTCCCTGAATTTTTAACCCTCCACACTCAAATTTTTTAATTTCTTTTACAAATGTTAGATTATTTTTGTACTTTAAATAATTTTTATATTTCGTTAGATCTTTTACAAATATATATACTGTAGAATAATCCTATTCCATAATAAAAGCCCAAAATTTCAATTCCAAATTTACTGAAATTTTGAAATATGAGAAGAGTTTCCTGAAACGTGATAAAATCACCATTCATTACCTGATGAACACCAACAATTAGCCTCAACAGTGAATAATCTTTTTATGAAAACATGCTCTTGGTTAAGAATTTATGTATGTACGGTATAATGCATAAAAACAACGGCGAGCTAAGTGGTAACTTCCGCCTTGAAATAAAGACGTTGAATAAGATTTTCGGAGAAAAATTTATTTAGAATATTGCGACAGCAAACCTCTTTCAGGTAAATGTTCTAGTCTGTTACTGTTGGTTGGCCACATTCAGCTGATCATATCATGCTCATTAATTCCCTTTTTATAAGTTTTCAATTACTTTGAAAATAGGCCAATTTTGCTTTGAAAATTTTGCTGTTCTATCAAAGACAAATCCCAAATTTTGATGCATTTTTCAAAAATGCAAGGAAAAATGTATCAATAATAGTTCATTTATGTCAATCTTTACAAAAACCGAAAGTGATCAATGCGAATCATTCGCGGTTATATCAACTAAATCGAGCTGCTTGGTGAGAGTTTCAGTAGTCTGGTTAAGAAGTCCCGAAAAATGTTACCTAAAGTAGATAGCACTCTTGTGCATTGTTATATTCAAGTAACCTACTATAACCAAATTAAATTCGTGCAAGCCGTTATTTATCTTTGGTGAATTAAATTTGTTTAGAGATAAATTAAGAACATCTGTTATGTTAAAAATGTGCAGTAAAACTACTTCAATTAATACACTTTTGCGAAATATAAAATCAAATTATCAGATGTTTAATTCTTTTGCGAGATGTATGCAATGAAGTATTTTCTCTCAAAGCAGCAATTTGGCTAAAAGGTTAGCCCATAGATGTTTCTTTTTCATCATTCAAAGAATACCTTTTGAATGGCATTCTTGGAGTAGATATATTTATATAATATTTTAATAAACACATTTTTAATTTGTCTTCATGAAACAGTTTGATAGTCACTACCATGAGACAGAAGTTACTGTTAGTTTGTTTTGATTATGGCTACAAGCACGAGAAAGCTAGCTGTTTGTAGCCAAAGCAGCGCAAGACGATGTTTGCGATTGCAGCAGAGGCAAACAATTTAGGGAGGATTTTTTCAAAAATAAGCTTAGCTGATACCTTTCAATTGTTTGAATGTGCAGTGAAATTGCTTATCTTCAATGCTTCAAAACGATTCTCTCGTGTTTCCTAAAGCTATAAAAGGAAATTTAGGGAATGATTATTGATGAGGTTCAATAACAGCGTTTCCTAAAAATACAGGTTATTCCAAATAAGAATGATTTTAAAACGAAATGGTAATCATGTGTAAAATATTGCCACTGCCACTAATTTATTTGTGCTCTAGTATGCTCCTCAGGCTTAAATACTTTCAAGTCTAAAAATAACTTGGGAGAAAAATCTTAATATTATTTAATAAATCAATCTTTTGTGAACCTCGCTAATACTTGAAAATGTATATGTGGAACTCATGATTATTTAGTGCAA